TGGTTTGGCACCGGGTCCTGTAGGAGCAGGGAGGTGCTGGCAGTGCTGCCTGGAGGGGTGGGATGGGTAACATGGGACCTGCAGGGTGAGGACCCGAGCCTGGGCAGCTCCCTGGCAGAGGCAGCTGCAGCTGCTGGAATCAGCCTAAGGGGCGGCTGGGCAGGCATGTCCGGCACCCATCCATCCCCTCTTGCACTCAACAGAGACAACCATGGGCTGGCAGTCATTGCTTGGTATTGCTGCTGTGTCCCCTTGATGCTGGTGATGGTTTTTGAACACCAGCACGACTCCCCTGTCTGTCCTCTGGATGGTCTGTCTCTCCCTCCCCATCCTTCACCTGCAGCATCCCTCCCTGCGCCCACCCACGGCACCATCCAGCCGTGTCAGGCTGCTCCTTGCCAAGAAGCCGTGCGAGATGCACAGGGTGGGAGCTGAACTGGGTTATTCATCCATCTGCTTTGGCCTTGGCATCTCCCAACCCTCCCGCAAAAGGGCTGCAGCCACGTCCTGCCAGGGCCGGGGCCCGACCTCCCCCAGGGCAGCCGGGGCAGTAAGAGGACACCTAGGCGTGGGGGACGGGGCTTGAGGGGGTGCAGGGCTGGCACCTCTGGTGTTCCCATCCGTGGTCTGCTGGCTTCATGCGTGGGGCTGCCCAGGCTTTTATCCAGGATTTGGGCAGGGCACAAGAGCAAGGGCAAGGAAAACCAGCCAGCGCATCCTCCCTCGGGCAGCAGGAGAGCCCAGAGGGGCGGAAGTCGCCTGTTTGTTTAAGGTGCAAACAAGTGCTGTTAATCTGCTGCCTGTTTGTATTTCTTTAGAGCCCCCGGGTGCTGGGGGAGCAGAGATGGGGTCTCCCCTTTGCGCGGGGGCAGGGTCAGGCTATTGGAAGTGGAGGTGAGAAAACACAGAGGGGCAGCTGGAACCTGCTTTGGGAGGGAAAGATTTTTTTCGGCTATTTATGATAATTAGTGGGAAACGTTCCTCAAGCGTTTCAGATGATTCTGTAATGAAGTTGGGCCGAATGTTCCCGCTTTGTTCCCCTGGAACCATTAAAAATCCCTCTTCTTTGGCTGCCTTAATGCAATGCTGAAAAGGCACAATGGCATAAAAGTGGCTCTGGGCAGGGCGGCACGCCTCCTGCCCTGCCAGATAGAGCCCTTCAGAGCCCAGATTTTCTGGGTTATAAACCTCAGCGCTCGCTATGTTCATGCAAAGGCTGCTGCGGATCCCATGCCTGGGGCTCCTTTGCATCCCCGATGCCAGTCGGCACGTGTGAGTGCCAGCCGGGCAGCACCACCGAGCTTGCGGCACACTCAGGCGGGACAGCGGCCGATGCAAAGGCACCGGGGTGAGAGAGCAGGCGCAGCAAGGGTTGCCATCGCTCCGGTTTTATAGAAAAGCTGCTTT